TCTCCAATTTTATGAAAATGGAGAACAAATTACTAACAAATCACATCAGGATTTTACTGATATGTTTTGGGTTTTTTCATACAGTCATGTTCTATAAAGTGATAAAGTATAACATCTGTGGACTTTGCAAGAGCTTAGCTTGTATAAAGTATTTTATTAAAGGTAACTGTTTAGTTTCAGTTACTTTCCAGAGTTGGATTACTGTTTACAGTTAGTTTTTAAAAAAAATACTGTTATTGCTTTATTAATATTGACTGGTCTCTGTCTTAGTTTTTATTATTATTATATGAGCATTATTTGGCAAGGGTAAAATTTCAGAAGTTCATAATCTTCTATTACAGTGGAAGTATTTGACTTGCAGTCGTGTAGAAATCCCAGTCTCAGTGAACATGAGCACCACTGTATCACGATGTTGAGTGTGTTATCAAGGTACCCAAGTAGCTATTGCAGGAGTAGGTTTGTAGATTGATTGATAGCTCCAGAAATACTTTATTTTATAGTCCTTTGCAGGAAATTATTGCTATGGCAGTAACACAGACATAACATGGCACAGCCCAGCAAAACCATATCAATTCATAATAAAATGAAAAATATATAAACAAATAAATGGCTATGTGCAAATATGCAAACATGTGGATACAATCATATTATTTTATTATTGTACATTGAACAGTCTTATAGCTGCTAGTATAAAGGACCCCCTGAGGTACTCAGACTTGCACTTTGGTTCAGTCAGTCTTTTGCTGAAGGTGAAACTGTTCATAGCAGCCAGTGATGATTACTCATTTCTTCAATCTTCAAGTGATTTAAAGAATATGAGCTTTCAATATTCATTCCGATTTTTCTTTTGTCATTTGTCAGCTTTCCTAATGTACATTTTAAAGATATTCAACTACTTTCCAGTTTTTAAAACTCAAATCATTGAGCTTTCAGCATTCAGACCACATTTTCTTCAGGAACTTCATTCACTTGTTAATTGTTTTCCTTTTCCGGGTGTATGATATGTTATAGTGTGAGGTAACTGGCAGTTTATAAAACTCTGCTTTCACAGTACTTTTCCCAAAATTGCAATATTATAAATGGTTCAACTTTCAGATTCTTTATATTGGCCTCTTTGGTGATTTTCTCTTCTACAGTGTTCACGGAGTGTTAAAAAGTGTCACTTGTATTGTTTCCCCTCATTGCTGGTCTTTATTTTTAAAGGCACAGTTTCTTTCTCAGCTGTAAGCCTGTGCATCCACAATGATGGAGCACTTTTGAAACATTTTCTAGAATAATTTTGCCACTGGGTGTCACGCTGCCACTGTGATGATTGGCTGCAGCAGCGGCGTCGCTCTCTACGTGCCTCTATGACGCGCCGCTTTTTTTCCCACCATGCACCGGGGAATGTCTAAGGAAAGATGGCGGAAGGAGGAGCGGCTGATCTGGATACCCAAAGAGGAGAGGTCGCGACACTGTTGAAAACACAACTAAGAAAGGGAGACACTTGGTAAGAATTGACTGTGATCTTTTCAAGGGCACTGCGTGGCTCTGGGCTGGGTCTGCTGAGCCTGTCAACCCCACGGAGGATGTGAAAGCCAAACGGCCGGGCCGTGTTGACAGTGAGCTCCGAGCTAGCTAACGGCTGCCTGTCAGCTTCATGTGTCAGCTTGGCAGGCTAGCGCTGGTTGAGCTCTCGCTAAGACTTAAAACAGTTAAACTAAATTTATATGCTGTATTTTGGTGTTTATATCTTTCACTTCCAAAAAACTGTGTCACAAATTTTCTGTGGATGTGCAAGGAAGGCTACATGCCGTTTGAGTGATACAGATAGTTATCAGGCTATCAGCTAATTGGCTAGCATGCCGATGATCCAAGCGGTTTGCCTGTCAGTGGGTTCATCCCCCGACTTCAGCAGGGCGGAGTCGAAAAAAAACCACCTGTCAAAATCACAGAGCCAGCTGGCTAGGCTTGTAGCAATCTGAACTCAACACGGCGGCTAAAAGCTACTGTTACAACTGTCAGTCTGTGTAATGTATGCCTCCCTAAACCAGATTTGTTTCGGGTACTCAATACAAGGTAGCCCCAAGGTAACCTGGTTTATAGCCCAATAGTTTAATGCACCCCACCCCACCATCCCTTTTATATAACTCTTGACTTTCACATCTTGCTTTTAGTAGGGATGTTGTAATCTTGATTGCTTTCTCTGCAGGTACCTAGTGGACAGTCACTGGTTCAAACAGTGGAAGAAATATGTGGGATTTGACAGCTGGGACAAATACCAGATGGGAGACCAGAATGTCTACCCAGGACCGGTTGATAACTCTGGTCTTCTCAAAGGTAAGCCAAGTAATAGTCCATCTCTTTAGATCTCTATTTTATCCCTTCTAAAAGTATATGATAAATGTATGGGAAAGTAGTTTTTGGTAGGTTAGCTTTGTGGGCAAGTGACATACACGCACACAAAAACATTGTCTACTAACCAGAGAGTAGCCTTTCTTTGGAGGGGGGTCATAGAAAACTCTCCAGCTCACCTTGTTCTTTGTGTGTTATCAATAGTGTAAGTGTTGACCCACAGAATGTGCTTTTTACCCTCTCTTGTTTAACTGCACGTGTATGACCCTCCCTCCCTCTAGATGGGGATGTGCTCGCCATCAAGGAACACCTCATTGATGAGCTTGACTACATTCTGGTCCCAACAGAAGGCTGGAATAAACTCGTCAGCTGGTATGGACTCACAGAGGGTCAGGAGCCAATCGCTCGCAAGGTAAGGGTTCAGTTATTAGCATAAGATTATGAATGGATTTTTTAACATTTGTTCTGCTGCCAGCTCAGATTGTTTTCTCATATACAGAATCAGAAGGTTTAATGTGCAGTGTGACTTGTGTTGGGGTAAAAGGGAGAACATTGTGCTAATAAGGCTGTTTGAGAAAATCAGACATGCAGCACTTTTGGAAAAGGAACTTTGAACTTGTGTCACTGTTGCTGAACAGTGACTAGTAAAAGACTCTATGATGACAGATATTTAACAAAAAGAACTGCAAAGAATAGTTAACCATTACATTCATTTTTGATGTAATTTGGTTGGTCAGGTAGATTTACACAGATTTACTCTGTGTACTCTACACAGAATCTCAGAAGTAATAGTGAAAGACTGGGTGTTTACTTATCACAAAAAAAACAGTTGCCTTTCATTCATTTCTTTTATGAATGAAACACAGTATGTGTGCTTATTTTTTCCATATTAGCATAAGAGTATGTAAGGTTTGCTGGAGTAAAAAAATGAAGAATGCTTATGTTTGTGATTACAGTTGAATACTTGTGTGTGATGGCACTTCTGCTATCAAAGCAACTCTTCAAATCTTGCTAGTCATGGCATCATGGCTGCTGGAAGCACTTCCTCTTCCCTCTCCATATCTATCAGTCTGTCTCTTGTCCCCCCCCCCTACATTGACCCTCCTCTTTTGCCATTTATGTCATGTGGCGTATCGGGTAGCTGCAAGGTTTCTATTTTCAGGCAACGTTCTGGATGACTGAAAAGCTACATGGAGCGATCTGCGAGACACAACATGAAGGAGGTTTTCTTCTTCTTTTTACCCTGTTGTTTCTATATTGTCAACTTGAGGGTGGGGGGTATGCTGGGGGGAACTGTAGGATTGTAGTCATTGGTGTGACACTGTGGCTCCTTCCGCTTTCCACTTGTGGTTTGATTGCCAACAATGGTGGAGAGCTCCTGCGTCCTTGTTTTCCAAGCGGAGGAATGCCAGCTGAGGTCACACTAAGAGAAGCAGCGCGTAAGCTTTTCAAAGGAGTGCGAGGAGAGGCAAACCAGTATAGGAGAAGCGGCGTGGGTGGCCTAAATGGTTTTGGCTCGGCTTTGATTTGAGAAAATGTGTCAGAGCTTGGTGGTGAGTTGGACGTTGACTGAGCTCACAGATGGGTTGTGCGCTGAGGTGTACTAGCCCACCGAGAGCCTTGAGTAGGGGAGGGTTGTGGTGCTGAGAGAATCTAAGTTGTGTGTGAAGGACTTTTGCAGTTTAGTAGTGTGAGTGTCTGTGTGCTGGAGGGGCTCAGGGGTGAAATAAATAGGCTGGGACCCCTCAGCTGTTTCCACGAGGTGCTGCTAATTTAGGCACTTCACTCTGACTATGAAGTATCAGGACTCCGGATGAGTAGAGACCAGTGCAGCAGATCTTAGTGTGCTTTGTTATCCATTTTGTTAAGCATTTTCTAGCACGTTAAACTTAGGAGTTTGCTTTCAGTCTTGCAGGAATTTGATAAACATGAGATAAGGGTTGCATCATGATTATTTTTGCCAGCTTGGTGTCACGGTTTCTTTTTGGGTGCCTAAACTTCTGTCAAAGGTAAGCTCAGCCATGATAACAATTGGACAAACATCATACAGTCAAAGGCTTCTGCTGGCACGACTCAGCCAAACTTGCATCTGTGTTGGAATCTTAAACATTTAGTTTTTCATGTTTTACTTCCGTCTGTTCAGTCTGACTTGTTACTGTTGTCTGTGGTGTAATGTAGTGCTACATTCCTGTTGGCTGATTAGTGGACGGTCAGATTGTGAGATTTTTACACAGTTACATTTTATGTTCCAGGTTATTTTTCCTTGCAAGGCCGTTGTAAGTGCAAACGTTAGACTTCTCTAAGGCAATCATTTCTGAGTTATCTACACGGTTCTTTTACATTGATCTTTTTGTGCGGGACAGCCCAAAACCATACAGGGTTACTCATGAATTAGGCCCGTGTCCCTCATTCTTTGCGTAGTAATTTAACATTAGATAATCATGGTTTAAAGCGGTAAATTGATAATCATCCTCTTTTTGCAGGTGGTTGAACAGGGTATGTTTGTGAAGCACTGCAAGGTAGAAGTGTACCTGACCGAGCTGAAGCTCTGTGAAGACAGCAATATGGACAATGTGATCACCAAACGCTTCAGTAAAGCTGACACAATAGGTAGGCACTGCCTAAGCAGTACTAAGCACTGGTTTCCGCAGAGTTCCAGAGTTCCTTGGATCTCAGTTCACATTTCACACTAATTATATATAAATATTTACTGTTTGTGGTATTTGTGTTTAAATTAATAGTTTTTCCAACTATTGTTGCCACATGATGATTTATTTCCCCTTTTTGCTGCAGGGGAAACAAAGAAATCTTGTACATAAAACTAAGTGTTTTTTTTGTTTTGTTGTTGTTTGTTTTTTGTAAGTATTATGCAGTTGTGACACAACAGATACACGCTAGTAAATGCCATATTGTTTGACAGTGTATGGATACTAGCTATTGTATCCTTGCATTGAAACATGTTGTTGTTGTTTATATTTCAGCAGGCTGTGCCCCCCAGGAGAGCTAAAGAAAATAAAATGGAATAAATTTTATGTGTTTTCAAAATTATTTACTCAAGCGTGATCGACATTTTTGTTTATTGAGTTGGATAACAGTAAAGTGCGAAGATTAAAAATACAGAATTGTGTTTATGTACATGGTCACCCCAGTAATTCTCATTCTGAGCCAGGAAAACATTCTTGGAAGCACAAATGATATACAACATAGATCTAAATATACCCTTGGGATTTCAGATATTAGAATCACCTCCTGCGTGCATTCAAACACATGAACTTAACACTCTGCTCATGTTGTTTTTGAATAACTGTATTCAAGTAAATATTTACTTTATTCTATTGATGTAGATGACGGAGTTGTTTTTTTTTTGTATGGTTGTTTTATTTCACATCTTGTTTGTGCACATGAGTGTGTTAACTGCATCTTTTTGCTAATATGTTTGTAGATATGATTGAGAAGGAAATGAGGAAGCTGTTCAGCATCCCTGATGAGAAGGAGACCAGGCTGTGGAACAGGTACATGAGCAACACCTTTGAGCCTCTCAACAAACCTGACAGCACCATCCAAGATGCCGGCCTCTACCAAGGACAGGTTTGAACTTTTCCACTCTTCTCTCAAATTCTCACTATGTGAGAAGAATTTGGATCTGGAGGGTTCCTTTTTCTCAAGAGAGGCAAGATATTTCAGAAAATTGTCAGATGTGTAAGAATATGGCTTGCTCTATAGACCATCATTCCTGAGCTCAGGAAAAGATGTTTTAGTTCTAGTTTCCTTTGGATATGGTTTCTCTCGTATTGTTTGGCAGATACGAGTACTTTTTCAGGTCATATCAGAAAACTTGTCTTTTCTTGATCTACTTGGAATCTGCATCCAAGAGGTTATTTTTGTTGATCCATTCTTTTTGTCTCTGCTCCTTCTATCTAAAATTAAAATAAACAGCTATTGCAGATAATGGAAAACCACAAGATTGTGTTGTTTAGCCTTTTTCTAGCTGTTGCAAGAAAAAGGCCTGTTAGTTAGAACACTTGAACTCCTGAAATTAAGATTCAACTTTAAAGACCTTATAGTAAAGCTAGTTTGAGGCCGGCTCATGAACTAGAATTTTTGCGCATAGAACCTGACATCAAACTGACTGCAGACTTTACATATTTATTAATTTTAACATGTGGCTGCAGTGACTCAGCAGGCTCCACATCACTGGGTTGTCCCACTTACCTGCTGCTGCTACAATCACATTAACCCAGTAATGGTATTCAGTGTTTCCCACTGATAGGCAGGACTTGGAGAGGCTGGATGGGTATAATAAGAGTATGCTGGGAGACTCAAGTATTTCACAGTTTTTATATAAGAGTGATGTTATCTGCAGTCATCTCACCAGTTATTTTGAAAGCTCTGTCTACCAAGTCAATTCCTTCAAGTCTTTTCGACCATGTCCCTTCGGTGTGGTGGACCATTCTGCCCACTCTGAAGAATCTAGTGTGCTGGGTGGCCAGATGCCCTCCAGTCCCCTTGTCCTGGATTGAATCTGGCAACAGCAGTCACTGTTCTGCTGTTTTAAAACCTGCACCAAGTGAAGAACTGCTTTATTTGTTGCTACAGTAAACTCATCAACGCTGCAGAACAAAACAAGGACCTCCGTTGACAACTTGGGTCATGACGCCAGAGTTGGAAGTCCGTCTGTGGGACGAACCTGGTGACATTTCTCTACATATTTAGAGGCACCTTGTCTACAATATGTTTTACTTTTTTCTAAAGTGTGGGTGTGCCACACCAGTACTCCACCCTGCTGCCACAAATGGATTCTAAAGCTGTCACATATAAAATATAAAGCTACTTTCAGCCAATGCTTTGTCACAAGGATTCACCACAGGGGTAGCTCCACGTATTCCGTTGGGGAGAATTTTACTCCGAATGACGCTAAAGGGATTTGTGTGAGATCAAATCGGGGATCTTTGACTTGTTGGGAAGATAAATTCGGATAAAGCAAGCCAATAACACTTGGACATAGAGTAGAATTTCAAATGTCTGGTGTGTTTAAAGTAGTGGAAGCAGATGGATCCCTCTTTTCTTTCTGCCTTCTCCCGCAGGTTCTCGTAATAGAGCAGAAGAGCGAGGATGGCACATGGCCCCGAGGCTCCACGGCACCCAAGTGAGTGAATGACACACTGCCTGGCTGCATTTCTTTGGCTCTAATGAGTTGTACCACAGTAATGGAATCAGATTCGTACTTTGTACTCTAACAATACTGTCGCTTTACTAAAAGCTACACGTAAGCAAAGTATTATTGAATGGCAGATAACTTGTATGTAGTCAGTATGAATTAAAAAAGTAATGTGATGTGACACCACATCAGATTTCCTGCTGTGGGGATCTCCCCCGTCGATCTTGCCATTATCTTCCACTCTGGAAAACCTGCAGAATTTAAAGTGTATTGGTTTTAAAGTTTCCCTGCTACATCACTGCAGCGCTGCATCATCGTCAAAGATTTCCTCCCCTTGTGACTTTGCCTGAGTTTCCTTCTTTTTTTGCTCGACCTTTTGTTGCTGACATATCACTCCGTTTATTTTGTTTCATCGCTGTTTAATTTGATCGGCACTCAGCTTTCTGGAACAGCTCCTTATTTTCCACTCTAATTCATGATCTATTCTTTATCTTTTGAAGGTCATCTGGTGCTTCCAATCTCTCTGCTTTGCCAAAGATCTCGCCTTCATCTCTCACAAACAATCATAACAGCAGCTTCAACAGCAGGAAGTAAGGCATAGTTGTGGGTTGAATAGCAGAGGGGTGGGTTTGGATGGAAACAGCCAGAGATGGAGCCTGATGTGCAGCCTGGAGTTCAGGACAGAACTTCACGCTGAAGTCGCCAGAATGCTGGAATGAATTGGCTTAAAAATTTGTTGCTTTTAACTTAAGTATGTAAACTTTTTCTTGACTCTTTTATCAGTTCTATTTAGCCTCATTCTATAATTCCATTACTGAAGCTGTTTTTAGCTTCTCACTATGAAATTCATCTAACTCTGTTTTGTACAGGTCTATCTCTGGTTGTGATTTGGGTGTTCTAAATCTCCTGATGATGCATTTTCAGCTGTAAGAGCTGATAGAAGGGAGGGGGGAAGGGCGCTTGCGTTGGATTGATCTCTTAGGATTTCTTCAGTGACAGTACACTCTTTCTATAAACAACAAAGCCTCTGGGTGCCTTACTCAGCTTCTGATTATATTACTCAAATTTGCAAATCTATTTTCCAATTGATGATGGCACTGGCTAGCTGTGGTTGCATGATTTGGGCTAATGTAGTGGTTACTTCATCTAGCAACATTCCACGATGTTTTGCTTCTGTATGTTATTTGATTTAACACCAGACTACATCTAAATATGTCTTTCAGGAAATTTAAAAACTTAAACCTTGAACATTTGTTTAAATACAACATGACAGCATGCTGTCAGTCAGTTACTTTCAAGTTCATGTTCCTAGTAGATTAGCTGGTAATGTCCCGCATAATGTACAAGACCATAACGTTTCCAGTAGGAATAACTGACTCTAGGGTTCAGTGATTCATAAATCTGTAATGCAGACTAGACCTCCTATTTTAAATGTCTTTCTAATACCTGCAGCCTCTTTGTGGCTGATAGTCCTGAGGGGAATCTGCATGTGGCCTCTTATTAAAACTATGCCATATCCACAAACTTCACAGAGACTTGGACAGAATCTTTGCATTTGTTTGCTAAAACTGACATGACTGCTCATTTCATCAGTCTTCTTTTCCTGAAGCATAGACCGCAGTTGCCAAAGACTGTCTGACTCATCGGGCAATTGAATTTGGTTGGAATCTGCTTTTTTATAACTTTGGATCATCCTTTCTGCATTTAGTTAAAAAAAATCAAAATAAATAAATAAAATAAGTCAGCTTGCAATGCAATTGTAGCTAACCTGGGAAATGGCGCCAGAAACACTACTATGTTAAGCTGATTATGCTACAGCTACAGGGTACTACTGCCTGGTGGCTGTAGAATAATTAGCTTAAGCTTTCAATCAGTGTTGTATTGCAGTCCCAACACCTCCCAAATCCCCGCACCCGCACTCCACCCTCCACATGCCAGGAGCATTGTCTTGTCATACCCATTCAAGCCAACCTGTAACTGAATGATTAGCTGTGCTAATGTTAGCCAAACAGAGCAGTTTCTTACATTTAGACTAGCCTTGTACCCTAAATTTAAATTCCAGCATATACTGCCCTCTTAAGGCTTTTTTTGTGTAATGCTCTGCAATCTGTGATGGCAGTTTAACAGAAAGCAGTTTCTGTGCTTTTGACACAATGGAAAATTATAGTCTTGTTTTCTTTGTGTCCCAGTGTAAAATGCAACTTGGTTGACAAAGGATTACTCTCCAAAAAGAAATTCAGTTTATGCCCAGTCATGCAGCTCTACTGCTAGCCTACGTGTCGAGAATATTGAACTCTTGCCTAAATATATTGTTTGTTGTGTATTGTTTGACCCAGAGGCTCTCTCAGCCATGTCCAAAAGATGCACATACACTCTGTGGGTGGAGCTTACTGCCTTTGCTGTCCAGTGGACACTGTTCACTGTTCCCTCCCTTCATGTAATGCGTGTGATTTACTGCATGCTGGAGTGTGTATGTGTGTGTGCGCACGCGCACGTGCCTGCGCGTGGTAGATAATAGACATTGTGCATCACATTTCTCAGTACTGTTGAAATGCAGAAATGGTAGTCACAGGCTTGGCCACCTTAAAAATCAATATTAACAAAGAATGAAGGGGTTAAAATCAACTGAGCCTTTCTTTGAATTCGTAAAAGTATCACAATAAAATACTTTCTCAGACATTTTTTCAGCTCGCACGTCTGACTTGTACTTGAAGCATAGTTGCACATTTTTGCCACAGCCGATGCATCTTTTTCTGCACAGTCGATGGATTGTTGAATGCACAGGGTGGGTGACTTGGGGAAATTGGATCTTTACTCTCAGCAGCTCTCCTGTCCCTGATTCACTCTGGTAGCAGCGCTGTCATTTTTTTCCCTCTGAATTATACATAGGGATTTTTTTTTTTTTTTTAATTAATTTTTCCCCTTTCATGTGAAGTGTTCCCATATTACATAACCCTTGTCTTTTTGATTCTGTGGTTTCGGCCTGGTCGATTTAGCCTCTGCAAGTGATGCTCTGCAACTGCATTAAGTGTCACCGTCCTGCGAGGTAGCGTCCCCTGATTCTGGCAGCCAGTCTCTGCTCCTCTCTCTCACTCACTCTCTCCCTCTGTGTCGTTTGATCCCTTTACCTCTCCTTTCCTCCGAGCTCATTGCGATGCACACGTTCTGCAGTCTGAGTGACCTTCAGAATACGTTTCATCTGTTCCCACTTTTCACCTTCTCATCGCCTGCCTGTACACACATACTGCCCCTGATGATTAAAAAACCACTTCTTTCTCTGGGTTGGAGTTTATTTATTTAGATTATCCCCTTTCAAACCTCTCATGGAGACAGCCATGACATATTAAAGAGGATGAAAGAAGGGTGTGTCAAAGTGTGATTTACTTAGTCCAGAGTGTCAGCGGTTGTGTTTTACCAGCAAAAGAAGGAAAAAAAGAGCAGGAATTTGTGTGCTAGTGTGCAGAGTAAAGGGAGAACAGTGATATATGCATGCTAGTGTGAGAAAATGGGATAAATTACGTGCTGGCATGATTGTGTTAATGTGTCTTTGTATGTATGTCTCGACTTCTCTCTGTAAAAGTGAGTTGGTCCTGTGAATACTGCAGCCTCAGCTGGATGCAGTGGATCAGCTGCTTCCTCCATCCCCATCTCATTTCTCTTCTGTCATCCTCTCCCCCCTTGTACTGTCCGCCCCTCCCCCCCCATTCTCTTTGCTTCTCCCGCCCTCCCTCTTTCTCTGTGCACCTCTACCTCCAGCAGCAGCAGTCTTGAGCATCCTTGCTGCTGCTGCTGTTGCTGCTGCTATAAATATCTGCTGGTAGCCGTAGAGCAGCAGAGAGCAGCAGGCAGGCCAGAGGGAGGAGCAGAGGACAGGACGGCATAGGACAGGGGGGAAACGAATTGAAGCAGAGAGGATAACGAGATGACAGGCGATTGAGCCCGAACAAGAAGACTGGGAGAAATGAGGAGAGGGGAGCTAACCAGTTAACTCTAAGACAGACCAGAATGTGTGCTTTCGTGTGCATTGAATTGTACAGTTTTAAAGGTTGGCCTGTGCTGGACTTGGAATCAGATTCAGGCCTAAACTTCACCTGGACTATTCAAACTGCTTCTGGAGCTGGATTGGCTTGAGCTGAGTTAAGACTAAGACTCAACAGTCAAAACTGGAGCCGGACCGTCCTTTCTGAGCTCAGATACCCAAACTTTTCATACAAGGGACCCAAGAAAACCCCATCGAAGCTGCTGGCTGTCTAGTTTTGTGCGGACATGCAGGCCATCAAGGGCCGGGGTGGGGCTGAGATGTCATGCTCCTGTGTTGCTGGTGGTGCCTGAGGCCTGAGGCGGTGGAGCTGGATGGCAGGAGGGTGGACCACCGAGTGTTGAACTGCGAGGCAACTGCCTCCACCGCCATCGCAGCAGTTTCCCTTGACCAGTGGGAGCCAGAAACGGCCAGCGTTGCTTTATCGAGCTCCCAGAGGTCTGCTGATTGCTGCAGCTGAGCAGGCCTATCTTAAGTCTTTTAATAATTGTCTAGGAAGCTGTAAAGAGAGGGGGTGAAATAGTGAAGCTGTGTACCTTCTAGTCTTTGTAAAGTTTGGTTGTTTGTTAAAAACTTTAATTAGATTTAGTATAGATGTTGTCTGTTGGTTTTAGATTTCTCTGTTCGTCAGTGTTCATGACTTTCCACAAACGACCCTGTTTAATCTCTCAATGTCTGTATGTTGATTGTACAGTGTGAAGAATTCGAGCTATAGTCTACCATCCTACCACCCTTACAGCAACAGTTATGACTACTCGGACCAGAGCAGGCAGAGCGAGCGCTCAGGCTTGTGTGGACTCTCAAACCTGGGCAACACCTGTTTCATGAACTCTGCTGTGCAGGTAATCTTTTCATGGAGCTCTTTAGAGTCTGGAACTATGCTAATTAGCACGCCAATGTTTACTCAAAATTCTACAGAGAAAACTTAAAAAAACAAAACAGTTAATTTGAAAGATATTTTTCTCTCCTGTTTTTGCGTTTTAGTGTTTAAGCAATACCCCTCCGCTGACGGAGTACTTCCTCAAAGACAAGTATACAGATGAGCTGAATGAGGACAATCCACTTGGCATGAAGGGGGAGATTGCCAGAGCCTACGCGGAGCTTATTAAACAGCTGTGGTCAGGCAAATACAGCTACGTCACCCCGAGGCCTTTCAAGGTAATTCCTTGGAAACAATATATTAAATGTGTGAAGGAACCTTCATGTTTGAATCTTCACATATGTTAAAAAACTATTTTTGATCAATGTTGGACAGATGAAGGCTTGCATCAATCTGTAGGAGCTAATAATCTCATGATGGCACTCTTCAATGAAATACATAAACGGACATGGACATTGTATGGCCGCCGGCCACATCCAGTCCATTGGTAGGCCCTGTTTGTTTATTTGTTTGTTTATTTATAAGGAACCCCATTAGCTTCCACAACAGTGGTTGCTAGTCTTCCTGGGGCCCAAACCATCAAATACCACCAAATAAAATGTTACACAATGAGTTGGGTGCAAAATGTCCACATAATTTGGCTCTTACATCCACAATAAGGTTTTACAATTCTGAAAATGTAAACATGTAAATATTAAAAATTATTAAAAAACAAACAAAAAAACCCACTCAAACAAAATACACAATTTCCATTACAAGTGACATTACCCTCTTACAATTTTTACAAATAAATTAAAAACTGCTTAAATAGGCTTTTAGGTGATTTTTAAAATTATGAATAGAAGCCAATTCTCTAATTGCATAAGGCAACTTATTCCATTGAAAAGATGGAATAAGTGAGGTCGATGGGACATTAAAACATAGTTATAAATCATAGTTATAAATCATTTTTCTCTCTTTTAGCCACCAAATATTCCCCATAAGAGAATAGCTTGTTTTGTGTGTTTGTTGTTGTTTTTTTGTTTTTGTAGTTTGTGGTAAATGAAAACTTGTCACTTCCACTTTAATTTGAGTGTTTTATTAAGGGTGAGTGTGTTTATCCTGAAATTGTGATAGTGCAAGTAAGCAAATGTGAATGTCGATCAATGTCTATGAAAGATTAGAGTTTGCTAGCCTGGAAGCTGTCAACTAACAATTAACAATATTGATCCAGAGTGAAGAATTTTAAGCAACACATTCATTTATTTACTGCAGTTTGGATTGAGAAATACAAGAATTTGAGTAATGCAGAGTGGGAACAAATAATTGAGTTGATGTACCCTCTGAGAAAAAGAAGTATTTGAGAATGTGCCCCTTTCCAGGTGAATTGTGACAAGATGGATCAAAGACTTTGTAGGAAACCTTGAACTTCAGTTGAAATCACAGCAGAAAATTTTGAGTTTTTCTCCTTGGCTCTGGATGAGAGCTGTCTGCAACACAACCGAGTTATTATGTTTGTAAGTGAGATAACGAAAGACTTTGAGCTGGCAGCAGTGCACTCAGTGAAAGAGACAGACAGGGAGCGATTTGTTCACTGTCGAAATTTGACGAGGACAAATGTCAGATTTAAGTTAAAGTGATTGAAAGTGGTACTTCTGCATTGTGTTAAACACCAGGAGCTGTCGTGTAAGCCAGTGCTCAAAATGAACCATGTTGTTGTTAATTAAAAAAGTTTTCTTGTATAAACAGTTTTAATAACTTCATCAGAGTCGCAGACTTTCCAGAGACATGCTCAAAGATGTAAGTTCTCTTTGAATCGAAGTTTATCGAAATTTAAATTTGACGAAGTTTAACATCCAGCTACAGCTCCTCAGTTAGTGACTGTCACATTTAGACCTCATATACACTAGCCCTGACTTTAATGCATTTGTTCAGGCCTAAAACAGACTAGATTTTTCTCACTCAGATGAAGTAATTAATCTACAAGCAAAATAGAAACAGCACTTTGTATGAAGTTAAAGGTATTTGAAATTGCTTCTGGGAATGTTGATTTAATAGATAAAATGTTGGTGTTTTTAACTATGCCTTTTTTGTATTTTTATTAGCTAATTGCAACAGGTAGTCTTAATCTTACTGCTGAGCGTATAAAGGTTAAAACCATTTCAGTTTAAGACCTATGGGCTACAGAATAGAGAACATGGACATCTTATATTATTTTGAAAGAAACCGGTCACTCAGTGTGATGTATTATGATGAGGAGACTTGATTTTGCTCCTCTACCCCCCACTCATCCAGACCCAGGTGGGCCGCTTTGCTCCCCAGTTCTCGGGCTACCAGCAGCAGGACTCTCATGAGCTTCTGGCTTTCCTTTTGGATGGCCTACATGAGGACTTGAACCGCATCAGAAAGAAGCCCTACATTCAGCTCAAGGATGCAAATGGTCGGCCTGATAAGGTGAGACCAGCGGCTGATGAATGGATTGATAAAAGTGAAAAAAAAAAAAGATTTATTTTATTTATTTAGTTACATTTTATTAAATTTTTGTGTATACCCGTTTTTTGTTTTTGTTCTTTATGCCAGGTTGTGGCAGAGGAGGCGTGGGAGAACCACATTAAGAGAAATGACTCCATTATTGTGGACATCTTCCACGGCCTTTTCAAGTCGACTCTGGTGTGTCCTGTGTGCTCGAAGGTCTCTGTGACCTTTGATCCTTTCTGCTACTTGACCCTGCCACTGCCCATGAAGAAGGAACGGACACTAGAAGTTTATTTAGTCAGACTGGACCCTCTGGCCAAACCCACACAGGTAACAAGCTGAGCACAGAGAGGAAAAAAAATGACTACTGTAAGAAGCATCATGCCGTTTCATGTATGAACAGCAGGCAGTAATCATGTTTTTGTTTTTTTCCCCCTCAGTACAAACTAACTGTGCCGAAAGTGGGCTACATTTCTGACCTGTGTACCTCCCTGTCCAACCTGTCAGGCGTGCCTGCTGAAAAGGTAGAATATTTAGCATCGGCCTGCGCAGGAATCCTGCCTCTGTTATCACGTTGTAATGCTGACATCTACTTTTTAATAGACGTTGTCCTCTGAGCTACAGAAGCTAGTGAGGGGAAATGTTGCGTATTTTTCAGAGAAAGGGAGAGATGAGGAACAGGGACACAAAGGATAACTAGAGACCAAGGGAACTGGAATTCAATATGTATGAACCTGCTATTATGCTGTTACACTGCATAGACAGAATAGCAAAGCTGCCACACTAATCAGTGTGGTCGTTTATTTTCTTGTAGGTCTGTTTTAGGTTATTAATTTTTTTCCCTACATGACTTCTCTCTGTGTGGTTCATCGAGGTCACAAAGCGAGATAACACACAAGGGAAATGTTTTTCTTTTAATGAGTTAAAAACCACATTGTATTTCCTCCATATAGGCTTAATTAAGCCTGGACTTTCAGATCCTGGTTGCGTTTACAGCAGTGTATCCTACTGTCACTCAAAGCCTGCGCCATCCTGAAGTACTATGTGGCGATCGTGGCTCAAGAGTTGGGC